GCAGCCACGAGGGGAGTGGCTCAGACTCATCAGGGCTACCTTCAAACTTTTGGTTCTTTAGAGAGGACAAGAGCGAAGGGGAGAGTAAACCAGTTTCTCTACATGTTCTGTGGGTAGAAAAGGGAGCAGTGATCATGTGGGAAAGACGGGTACTTAGAAGGAAGGTGATCCTGAGCTCAGGGCAGGAAGTGGCATCCCAAGGAGGAGGTATGGCTGTGAGTGGTGGAAGGGGGCATGCTGGAAACCAATTTCCTGTTGTCCTGCAATTCACCACGATGCCCGGGAGCAGGATGTAGGAGAGAAGAAAGTCACTGGGGACAAGGAGACCGTGGACATGAGAGAGCAGAGAGTGGGGTGATCAGGTGGCACTGGATCCACATGAAGAGGAAGCCCACTAGACCCAAAGGAGGACAGATGACCCAAAGGACAGCAAGATGAAGGAAAGAGGCTGGTACAGTCCAAAAGGAGGCAGGATCCTGCAGCTCAGAAGCTATGGCTGGGGAGAGACTGCTTGGAGATTAAGGAGATAATGGAGCATGGGAGGAGAGACAGTCTCTGGTTGAGATGCTACAGAAGTGGGGACGGGTCAACAGTCAGCCTTTAATGAGGCCAAAAGGGTGGCCAACTTCTACAAAGCAGTTTAGAATTCAGAGAAGCTTGATGGATAAGGGCAGGTGTCCCAAAGGACACAGTGGAAGGTTTAGGGAGGAGGGAAAGCACCAGTTTTGATGGGCTGGATCCAGGGACAGGCAGAGCAGGATGAGTGCACCGAGCTGCATTTCATGGATATCATCATCTGTGTGTATTCACTAATATTTCAGGAGACCAGGAGAACTAGGTCAATGTTAGATAAAGGCAGGGATGAGAAACCCTCGAGATTACAGAGAACAGATGTCAGCTTTGGCATCTGTGTAGCCCTGGTAAGCTGAAAAGAAAAGATTAAGCAAGCATGATGGCTGGGTCTTGTCGTAGCAGTGCTGAGGGAGGGGAGGAAGAACAGAGGCAAAGCTTCCTTAGACCTAAAAGCACCCAGTACAGCTGGGGTAGAGCCTGAAGGGATGACTAAAAATAGAGAACCAAGATGAAAACCAATGGAGTAACAAAGGACCCTCCCCCTCTGTAAAAAGACCTGCCTTTGAGATCTTCACTCATGGCGAGTGGACGCCCATCTCTGGAAATCATCCCTGGCTGCTGAGATGCTGTTGCAGTGCACAACCACAACCACCACCCAGGACTGAAGCCCCCGTAACTGGCGTCTTGCAGCCGAAGGCTCTCAGCTGACTCCCTTTGTGGGAATCGCTCAGAAAGGGCCTGGAGAGAGGACAGCCTGTGATGACTAATCCCCCGGTAGCTTTGGATGTGGGACATCTCTGAAGGGCCAACCCAATTTCAGAGCTCTTATTTCAGGGCCAGTGAACTCACGGACAAAAATCAAAAGAGGGGCACCTGGGTGGCTCAGTCGTTAAGCGTCTGCCTTCGGCTCAGGTCATGGTCCCAGGGTCCTGGGATCGAGCCCCACATCGGGCTCCCTGCTCCGCGGGAAGCCTGCTTCTCCCTCTCCCACTCCCCCTGCTTGTGTTCCCTCTCTCACTGCCGCTCTCTGTCAAATAAAATCTTTAAAAAAAAAAAAAAATCAAAAGAAAACTTCGATCTCTTTTTGCCTTTTGTGGGAAGACTTTATTTTCTTGGGCCTGGGCTTCCCTTTCTCTGAGTCGATGTGCAAGGCTTTTTACACTGCAGGGCTGAGGACTTAGTTTGGAGGGTCTGGACTGTCCGGGGATTAGGCTCCATGGGGAGAAGATGGAGGCGAGAGTTTGGTTCAAAGAGGGCCAGCTCTGCAGGTGCGCATCCTGACCACTGGCGCGACCGCTGGGAGACAGGGTGTCCTCTGGGCAGTGGTGTCCTGCACCACATCCTTACATGGTAAGCCCTTAGAAGGGACAGCTGCATGGACAAGGCGTAAGGGCTGCGATCCTGGGAGACCCCCTGCAGGACCCAAAACATCTCAGGGTGGAGTGTGCTGTCCCTCGAGCACATTCCATCAAGGTGGTGCCCTTTCTACAGTTTTTAAGGAGATAGGTTGATCTGGCATTTGGTAAAAATATGATTGCAAAGCATACATTAGTGCAGTGGGTTTCAAACTCTACCACGTGGCATCAGGATGCCCTGGATTGTTTGCTAAACGCATGTTGCGGCGCCCCCACCGTTGGAGTTTCTGAGTCAGGAAGTCTGGGTGGGGCTGGAACGTGCATGCCTCTTAACTTCCCAGCTGTGGCTGGTACAGCTGTTGCCCGAACCAGTGTCTCAGAGAAAACAGGAGGAAAGTGAGACAATGAGACACAGAAGGAACTCAGTCCAAAGGTGTGTCTTTTTATTATGTATGTGCTTGCCCAGCAGCCAACTGGAGTGTCTGCCGCCTTATCCCCCTGGCTCATGCGTGATGTCAGACTTTGGCTCTACTTCTCCCTGGATGGCGTCTGGCACTCTGTGGACCTGTGACATTGGGTCCTAAAAGGAGCTGCCAGCGCTCTGGGGAGCCATACTGGCCTGGGGAGGAGCGCGCTGGGTGTGCTTGCTTGGGCAGTTTGTGTAACTGCGGGGCGCAGGTGCGGGGGGCACGGGACGCAGGGGCGTGGTACAAAGGTGACCAGCAGAGGGTGAGTGTGAGGTTGGGGTTCAGCAGGTGCCCTGCACTCACCCCGCTGGGAACATGGCGTGGCTAGCACCTGCTGCAGGAAGGTTCTTTGCACAAAGGGTCCTCTGCCCCTCAAGTCCTGCCTTGTCTTGAGGGCAAGGGGAGAGTGTGTCCACCCAGAGAGGGGTCCTTTTTCCTAATTTGCACAGAGGGTAAGTTTGCCAAATTCTAGGTGGAGAGTCAAAGTGGGAACATAGTTGAAGAAGCTCTTTTTACAGCCTCCCCCCCCAAAAGGCCCTGGGGCTCATGTGTGATCCTGGGAGGACAAGGCTTCCTCTAACAGGGATACTGGACTGGCTAACCTGGTTTCAATTTGCTTTAGAAAATAGAAGTATGCATGTTTCTCTAACCTGAACGCATCACCATCTGTTAACAGTCTCTGCATTACCTGGGTGGGTGAGCTCTGTGGGTCCCTTCTCCAAGCGGCTTGAGCATGACCAGGGAACCTGTTAGAACTGCACGCTTTGGAACCCCACCCCAGCTGAGTCAGGAAATCTGGGATGTGGCTCAGCTGGCTGTGTTGAACGTGCAAAGAGTTTGAGAGACATGGGCCTGGAGCTTCTCACGTACAACAGGCTTAGAAATCTCATGGGGGGTCTTATTAAAGTCAGATTTTAGAAGCAATCTGCTCCTTCTTGCCAGTGAAGAGTCAGGGTTTGCGGAATGACAGGGAGGCCAAGGACATCATTTTAAGCATGCTGCTCCTGTTTGAACGGGGCCTCTGGGGCCCCTGCGGCACATTCGCGGAACAAATAATGATTGTAGGTGACCAAATGCAGATTCTTCTGCAGTGTGCAATTTGCAGAATCAACTGGCTCCGTTCACCAGCTCCAGATTCTCATTCCTTCCAGCCCTGGGCTAGGACGGGCTTTCTGCCGTCAGTACTCCCACACTGTTAAATCTCTTCACCATTCCCTACTTAGTCCTCAACTTCCATTTTTACCATTTAACCTGGTAACCTACGTTTCAGGTTGTCATGGAAAACAACATCTCAATTTGTTAGCCTGCGCTAACCTTCGGATTCCAGAAATGGAGGTGGGCAATGCCCAGAACCCACCGTCAGTGTCCGTGCACCCTCCCCTGGGATGACTTTGTCCTGAAGGGGAGACCCAGATCGAGCAGCCACCCCGATTTCCTGCATCATTAACATAGGGGTAGATTTGCCTACAGTAGGTTTCAATGACTTTTTTCCCCATATTCCAGTGGCCTTAGCTTCTAGGTCAGGATTAGGGTGAACTAGTGGGACAAATACATTTTCTTGATTATAATTATCATTCTAAGTTAGATTTTAAAAACATCTATTTCCTGTGAATATCGGCAGGAATGTACTTTGGAAATGAACATCAAAGGACAGGGCAATTTGAAATTACCCAGAAATTCAAGCCAGGTTTAAACAGGTAAATGGGATTCTATAAGCTGAATCAAATTTAAAGAACAACAAAACACTGCCAAGTCTCTTGGAAAAATTGATATTAAAAAAAGAATGAGTGGGCGCCTGGGTGGCTCAGTCGTTGGGCGTCTGCCTTCGGCTCAGGTCATGATCCCAGGGTCCTGGGATCGAGTCCCACATCGGGCTCCCTGCTCGGCAGGAAGCCTGCTTCTCCCTCTTCCACTCCCCCTGCTTGTGTTCCTGCTCTCGCTATATCTCTCTCTGTCAAATAAATAAATAAAATCTTTAAAAAAAAATAAAAAAAAAGAATGAGTTATAATAGGGCAAAGAAATATTCCTCAAACCTGTAGTTTAAATTCAATATTCCATCAGTGTTACAGGCAAGTATTTAAAGCATGTTGGCACAGAATTGTCAGCCATAAATCTTATTTCTTGCTGATTCAACGGTTTCCCATCAATGCTTCTCAGACAAAAAGGTTTATCCGTATCAGACGATACACCTGGTTATTTCCCCCCAAACGCTAATGTGAAGCGACTCAGTGGAAAGGCAGTTCCAGCCCCAGATCGCCCATGGTGATTTTTGTCCCACGAGTCTATTAAGTGAGAATGTTTTAATCTGCACTGTGTGGGTGGCTATCGGCATGGCCCCATTCCACCTGCCTCCTCAATGAGCAGGTTTTTAATTTAGTATCTGGACACTGCAAGGAAAGCTCGGGCGGTTCGTAGTGATCCCAGGTGGTGATGGGAAGGGTCTAACGCCAAAGAATCTGGTGCGCTTCCAACGGAGTGACTTCAATTCATCGACTTCTCCGAAAATCCCAGTCCCGGCCATCTATTCCGGGAGCATGCGGTAGGTGGCACCTAAAAGCGCTTCGGAGGCGGGCAGGCGCCATTTGAGCAAGAGCAGCGAGCGCGGCGGCAGCCGGCGGGCTCGGAAGTCGCGGGCCGCGGAGCGCGCGAGCGAGCGAGCGAGGAGGGCCGAGGACGGCCGGGCCGGGCCGGGCGGCGCAGGTGCGGGCTGCGCGGGGCGCGCGGGCGCGGGGGCGCGGGGCGCGGGGCGCGGGCGCGGGCGCGCGCGGGGGGCGCGGGGCGCAGGTGCGGGCTGCGCGGGCGCGGGGCGCGGGCGCAGGTGCGGGCTGCGCGGGCGCGGGGCGCGGGCGCAGGTGCGGGCTGCGCGGGGCGCGCGGGGGGCGCGGGGCGCGCGGGGCGCGCAGGTGGCGGGGCGCGCGGCGGGCGGGCCGCTGACCGCCGCGTCACGGCGGCGGCGCGAGGGCGCGCGCCCCGCCTGCCTCGGGAGGAGCCCGCCGCCGCGCAGCCAGCGCGGTGCCCGGTGCAGGCGAGGCGAGCCCCGCAGCAGCTCCGGGCGCAGTTTGCGGCTCCCCAGGTAACGATCGCCGTCCTCCGCGTGGCTTCGCCGCGCCCGCGCTGGGGGCTCGACGGGCGGCCTGGCCATCCCCGAGCCCCGCGGAGCGCTTGCCGCCGCCTGGGGGGGCGAGTCCGCAGTCCGGCCGCGGGAGGTGGCCGGCGCGGGGAAGCGCGCCTCCGGATCCTCGTAGGGAGGGCGTGCGTCTTGGTCCCCTTGTGCGCAGCGTGCGCTTCGGGCGAGAGAGCCTGTCTCTTGCGCGGGACTTGGGATTCCTTCCGACACAGGAGTCAGTGTTTCAGAAGAGCCCGCGGTGCAGGTGCTTCTGTTGTGGGAGTTGATTGCATGGGTTTCAGGAGTCCTCGAAGATGTGGTTCGAGGTGAGGAAGATGCACAGCACGTTGACTGCTGTTTGCTCAGCGTGTTTTCGGACCACAGCGCAGCCCTTGGCGGGCTTGGCTGAGACTTGGCTATAAATTTCAGTTCTCCTCTTAAAAGATGTGTCTCACCATCGCTACATGTGTCTGCCCCCCCCCCCCCCGTTTCCCTGGGGTCAGGGCAGGGGTAGGAGAGGCGCCGGACCCCTTCTGTAGTTGTAAGAAGGTGGCTTCCCAAGATGACAGTGACTCCTGTCAGCTCCCCGGCTCCCTGCAAAGCACTGCTGGATGCTCGCCCCGAGTCCTCCGGCCGGCCGGCCGGCCGGAAAAATGCTGGTGTTCTCCTTTAAAAACCAATTCCCATTCTTGGGGGTTTGGGAGACTTTTAAACTGGAAGCTCGGTGCACCCCCGGTGCCCTCCATTGGCCGGTGAAATACAGCTTCGGGGTGGGATTCAGTCCTTGCAACTGTGCCGTGACCCTGCTCGCCTTCCCGGGCATTTATTCTGCGTCTCTGCCCGCATTAACTTTGGAACGACCCCCTTCCGAGCGAGAAGCTAGTCTTAGCATAGGAGACTTTTCCTGCTTTGAACTAAAAACCTATAAAATATTCTTTTTAAGGAAGATTTTTTTAGGTAACAATAAAAAGCTGGAGCATTTCACATTCCAGATCAGTGCAAATGCACTTCTTTTCCAGTGGCATTTGGATTTGAAGGAGTGGAGTGGGAGGGAGAGAAAAGGGGAGGGTAAAATTAGAATAAATTTAACATATTTGTGGGGGGATAATACTGTTTTTCGGGGGGGGGGGTCGTTGCCTGAAATTGCAAATTGTCAGCAGTTCTGTCTCTGGAAATGCAGGAGCCCAGCATTCCTGTGGGCTGAGGCCCTGGAAGACCCATAGTTGATCTCAGAGAAACGGGAGGGACGAGGCAGGGAAACATTTTCATCCCCTTTAACACATGGCGGTTAGTTTGCTAAAGGGGGAGATCGTCCCCAGTGGTGAGCACAGGGAAGGGAGCGGGGAGAGGTGACTGTCTCACAGCGCCCAGAATCGCTGCTTTCTCCTGAGCTACTTCTGCTACGGTTATTGCAGAAACCTCCAGAACCTCTTCTTGTAACAGATTTAATAGTTGTTCCGAAGGAGAGACTCAGAAAACACCCAAATTGAATTCGGAGTTGTGGGAGTGCCTTTGCGCTTGCGGCTGACAATCTGGCGTGCTCAGCAATCAGTGAATACTGTCTCGGCTCGCGTACCTGCATGTCTTACTGAGAAACTGGAACCTTTGAGAAATAACAAGGGTTCTTTGTGAAAAAGAGAGCGCATCTGTGACGGTAAACACATGTTCCTTCTTCTGCTTTTGTTGCCATGGTTGATATGTAATTAACCTATCGCTTTGGACAGCGTCGTCATTTCCCAGCCCCCCAAGATAAATGCAGTGAATTTTTGCACTAAAAAATTTGTTCGTTATAAAGAGGAGCATTTGGTGTTCTGGGGTGAGGAGATTGCCTGCAAACTGTTTTAAGTTAGAAAGGGCTCAGTGCTGACCTGTAACTTTCAATTCAGATAACCACTGTGTCCCATTCTCACCTGTAAGGTGGGTTAGATACCTATCTGTCTGTCTATCTATCTATCTATCTATCTATCTATCTATCTATCTATCTATCTGATTTGGCTACTTACAATGGACACATGTCTCTTTAAAGACACAAGTGATTTCTAGAACATTGTTTTTGGTTATGATTTATCTAGGAAAATACCTGCTCTTAATCAAAAGGGAAGGTGATGATTGTCATACTGTCACGATTGCTAATGTTGTTTTACAAGTTAAATTTACACATGCATGTGCAAGTAAGGATTAACCTGAAGTTGTTTGATTGACTTCAAGTTAGGCTTCAGTTTTTGTTTTATTATGAGTCTTGTAAGTTTCTCTTCCTTCACCAGGTAAGGATTCTTCAAAGTGCTCAGAGCAGGTGCTCTCCCATCCTCTCTTGCTTTGCTCTCACCATTTGCAAATTCAGGAAAGAAAGGTTCCTTATAGCTCTGTCCTTAATGCAGTTAAGTGCTTTCTTATAAATCAGTGCTGTCCAAAATAAATAAAGTGGGTGAGCCACATGCATAAATTAAAATGTCCAAGGAATCCCATTACAAAAGTAAAAATAAACAGGTGTAATTAATTTTAATGTATTTTCTTTAACCCAGTCTATCAAAAGTGACATTTTAAAGATGTAATTGATACAAAATACTGATAAGATATTTTACAAGTGTTTGTTTTTGTTTTTTTGGGTTTTTTTCATCCTAAGTCTTACACTTAGGGAACATCTCAATTTGGATTAGCTACATTTTAAGTAGCCCATGTAGCTAGTGGTTATTGTATTGGCCAGCACGGATATGGGATGTGAACCTTTTGACAAAGCAATTTAAAAGCTGAAAGGTTAGAAGCCATTAAACGATTAAATTGAACCAAACAAACACTATCAAAAATAAATATACAGATAATCTCAAATTATTATAAGACCAGTGTCCTACCTTTCCCTACCATTAGCTTGTTGTGCGATCTTGAAACCTGTTTTTTGCTTCTTTATCAGTAAAACAGGAGGATTGGATCAAATAACTGGTCGGGTCAGATACCTTGAGTCAAATACCTGGTTCTCTGAAAATTAACCAGTAGATAGACTTGTGGATTCAACCCACTTGCAACCTAGGGATCTGTTGTAGCAGAAACAAAAGAAGCCGACATAGTGGTGGGTGTTGCCATTTTGCACAAGTACTGTTTGCTTCTGTCTAATCCCTGATGGCAGATGTCAGCCACTGAGTCCCCATGTCCCATTGGAGGTCATTCAGTTTTCACGTTTAAATTCCTTTACTGGGCAGGTAACAGCAAATCCATTGTAAAATCAATAAACAGCGAGTGAGCATGTATTTACTGCATGATTGAATATGCTTCATGGGTCTTTTCAAATTACCCTTTACTGGTATGTGTATGCATTTTCGATGTTTCTATCCATTTTAACACCAGTAAGGCAAGTTTGGTGAAATGCAACCCTTTATGATTGACTGACCCATGAATACTGACTTCTTGATGCCCAGAAATGAGTGACCTTAATGAAAAGATGTCAGTTTCTTCACCCCGCCCCTGGATGGACTTGGTGATCGGTGATCAATGGGTGATGGAGGGGCGGGGGGCAGGGGGGGGAGGCATTTCTATCACATGGCTGGCTGTCTCAGAACCAGGATAGGAGGTTTAAAGAGAGCAGCATCTTGTATGAGAGGAATTTGTGCAGTATTGTTCTAAAGCTAATTAATGTCTGGAAAGTGATTGTTTTTCTGAAGTAAGAGAATACAGAGACTGTCCATTAGGGCTTCCCCCACCTCTCCTCCTTCCACTTCTGAAGCTGGGCTCCAGAAGGTCCATGTGCTCATGAGAGCTCAGACAGAGGAGCCCCTGGAGGGGGGACACTTTATTCCCTCTGTCATCTTCACCCTCCGTTTGTCTTATTGCAGCACCCCTGTGACTTTCAATGTGGAATTCATCTTCCGCTGATACTGGGCAAGGGGGTGGGTAATGATCAGCATCCAGGTCTCTGCATCCAGAGCGAAGCCAGCAGCTCACCCAGCTTTACCACAGCGAAAATCCAGCTCAATGGCATTTTCCCTTTTGTATGAACTTGGACATGTCTTCTTAACTGTGCTATCCAGCTGTCACCGCCACCTGCCGGCACACATGTGTTCATAAGATCAGTGGGCTATCTCACTGCCCCCCTGCTTGTGAGATAACCCCTGGGATTTACAGAAAGCTGTCTGTGGAACAGTCCCCAGACACTGAGGATACTACAGACCCGTTTGCCTTTCTGTCTTCTCACTCATTAGCTATCACTTGATAACCTATCTGTCTTTGACTAGCTACCGTTGTATTCACACCCGATGGTAATGCTGGTTCCTTACTATTGAAGGCTCAGCATGCCTGCTAAATATGTCAGTACCTACCTTTCCGTTCCATCAGATCTTGGCAAGGAACTATTTCTGGCGACTGAGTCAGAAAACATACATGGCCGTCTGTGATTAGCTGCCTAACATGGCTGTTGCATTTTTAAAGCAAATATGAGACCATTCTGGAAGTGGCTTGGCAATATTACATGTTCTTAGAAAAAACTTCCCTCCTTGCCATTCTAGTGTCCTGAGCTCCTGGTTCCATTGTTGCTGATTTGGATTGGCTTGGACGCCTTCCTGGGTTTGCTAAGCCTCAGCTGAAATGCGGGTTCTGCCATTTCCTA